ACAATCAAATCGTGTGGATCAAGTTGATACATAGATGTAAAAAGCATATACTAAATATCCTTTCACGTGTAATTTATAACGTTTTTAATAATTACAAATTGGATAGCGCCTGTTTAAAATGCCACAGACTACAATCATTACCTCAGAATTGTTCGTAGTCTGCTGTTTTACTACATGAGTTGTGTCCCTTTCATCTCGTTTCGACTTGCTATATCCAACAGACGTCTATATCAGGCACTGTCTCTTTACTCAAATGGCTAGAAAACGTCTTTTGAAATCTTAAATGTGCTGTTTATTTCTTTCACAAGATGCAATAATTACCAATGTCGGTTAGCTTATATCATAATTATGGTTCGTCAAACATCGTTTTACATGCAACAATATAGGGAATATTAATAATATGGGGCATCATTGAGGTTGTCATAACCCTAAGAATAGACATTGTATCTATTCAAAGGTGAACGACTAATAATGGCCCGCAGTAACACGAGACTTGGATATGTACATACCGGTCACGTGACCATATAATCCCTCGGATATGAAATGCCTGTATGTTTTACATGCAGATGAATTCGCCAGGGCGTACTTTGTCCTATATAAAAAACGAAATTCAATGAAACTTGATTCCTTTTCAAAAACCAAATGACTTAACAAACGATATTCCTTTATCAGAAACTTGTTCAATGATAAACGGTAAATTAATTTACGGCGGGATTATTTACTTAAGATGACGACCATAGAATTATAGTCTGGCAGTCAACCGAGTCACATGTCAATAAGCTTATACACATGCGTCAATCCGCACATTTTAAACGAATTCTTGTTCTTATAATATGCAGTTATATGTTAATTAGAAACGTATTAACACGGATTAAAAAGCTAATATGTATTTTATGAAAGATGTTGGAACTAAAGATCTTGCTCTTCTGTGAAATAATTCCACCACGTTTCGGTTCTAATCCACAACACACGATCAGGTATAAAGACAATACAGAATCGCTGATGGCTTGTAATCTAGGCATTTTGTATAAAAGCGGTTGCCGAATTTATTTGATGCCTTGGTCTTTTCAAGACTGCTTTATTTAAAATTTAAAGTAGTAAAATCCCTAACCTTCATGAAAATATTTAATATTATATAATGAATTTATTTAAATTTGACAATAAAAGGTGTGAGAATAGCTTATAAAAACCATAATTCAATCGACATACAAGAAATCGGCATGTTTATATAGAATAAAACTTGTTTATAGGCATACAATTTGTTTTCCAATTAAACTGTTAAACATTCAAAAAAGTGCTTGCTGAAAATGTATGTTGGTCAATCGATGATCGAAAAGTTCTAAAAGTGCTGAAAGTTTATTGGCGTTGATTATAGTCTAATTTGTGGTTAGTAATTGGTGTCAAGCCGGAAATACTCTCCATCCAACAATGACACGTGATTATAGTCCCGCACAAATAATAATTAAACAAGAATTAAACATGGACAGAGAATTAGAGTTGTCGACTCCTGGTTAGTTTGTAATTGATTGATAGCTGATTGACAGGTTCATGTCTAATATAGAACACGAGCACGAGCAGTTTAACAGTTATTATTGTCTAATTATTTAATGATCAGGTTTAAGTGGAAGTTTATTAAAGAATTAACCGAGTCGTGATTTATTACATGCTATTTTCTATATCTGGAAAGCTCATGGAATAGGGAGAGAGACAGAATTTTATTGGAAATTAGACCTTTTGAACATATCTTTCACCATCATGGATATCTCAGAAAACCTTAAAACGTCCCATACCATGCATGTGTGCACTATGAAGGTCCCTTTCTACTCATGTTACCATGGAGATGTTGATACGGTGATGCGAAGCTATGACAATTACTGTTTCTGAAATGTGCGTCCTCTTTGTAAAGTTATCAATTACACAGGACTAGTGTACGAAGTTGCCTATATACTTGGCCATTTTTAAAAGAAAAAGATGTAATATGAATGATTATTTCAAGATTTAATTCAACAAAATAGGCACCAAAAGGTTCATCATCAAAAAATATACATTAAATCTAAAAATATTGCACTAATCTGGAAGACAAATTCAAACATTGCAAAGTATACTTGAATATAGTCCAGCAAATATATTTTTTGCGATTCTGGGTCCGATTCAAAATAAGACCAGTCCACTATATTTTCAGGTAGAATAAATAGTGATAAAAACTATAGAAATCACAGTTATATTATGTTAAATTACAACTTTAAATACCTATAATAAAGTGAACTACTCGGGTTAATGTTTGAACTGGTCCTTGATATAAAGAAATAACTTTGCTGAACTATACCCAACTATTAACCTCTTAAAAGATTGGAAGCAACATTTTAAATAATATTTGTAAGGATATAATTTTTTGGTATCATTCCATAAAAACCGGAATGTATAAAATGTAAGGCATTATTGAAAAAAATGAGGCATTACTTAAGGCATTTTAACAATATTGAAAAATATACTGAAATACTGAATGGAATATTTGACTAGAAGTTAGAACAAAGCTTATATAGGTAAAGTTTATAAACATTGCAATCTGATTGAAGTAGTTTCTACATGTTTTTGCAGTGTCGAAAGGAAAAAAAACGTAACCAACGTTTCAATATATATCAGATTAATGGACTAGATTGTATCTGAAATGCTACAATTACATTTACAAGTTGTAAACGTCTTTTTTAAGTGAGACCAAGCTCTTCTTTAACAAAACAGGCACAGGGCTTTGTCTTTGACAAGAATTCGACTCTTGACTATTTGTAGGTTAAAGTAATATTAATACTATGGTTGGGTCTGCATAGAGCGTCTCTCTGACTAGGCATATGTTGATGATAGTCGCCTAGGTAACGTGGATACCGCTGTGATGCATCTGATGGCGGGAATACACTATTACGACAATCACTGATAGGAACTGTTCTGTTATATGGCTGTTGATTGGTCAATCCTGAACTTGGTGATGATGTATTGTTATCTCGAATTCTTATCCAAGGAATGTCACTTTCACGTCGAAATGAATTTTGTACATCCAAAAGATCAAAGGCTGATTTTGGTGCCTCGTTGCTGCAAGAAGTTTTACTGACGACGGGCTTGAGCTCTTCAAAACGGCGAGGGGAAGGCGGCTGACTAGATGGAACGGTTTTGTTCACTTCATTAACATTTTGAGCACTATCCTCAAACACCGATTCTAAAGAATCCAAAGTCATTGAATCAAGACCAAGTTGGTCAAAAGAGTCTTGAGAAGATTTAGGCGTTTTCGCAAAGGGTGATAACTCAGTACAGATGGATTGAGCAGATTTTAATCGAGAACATATTGACTGACTGACATCAGGTTCTTGCTTTAAAGCAAAATTGTTCATTTTTAAATGGTCATTGTCGAAGTGGTCGTCAAGCCTCGCACTTCCGCTGAAGAGAGTATCATAAAAATCTGTTAACGGAGCAGACGAATTCTTATTACCATGGAGACAATCCGTTATAATATGCGAGTCTGGTCGCGACGTCATGTCATTATCTAATAATGGTTGGCCGGGATGACCGAATGACGTCACACTTGGATGTGGTGGCAATGACGTATAACCACGTGATGGATCGTTATACAGTGGCGGGGGCGCAGCGTGGTAACCATACCGGTTTCTATGGTAATCATAACCGTGGATGGTAAAGTCTAATGTTGGTTGTGGCGTGTAATTATTACTGATATTTATCTGAGTAATGGCGGGTTGAGGTTGGAAGCCATCTTTGAATACGTCACATGTTGGAAGGAAATCTTTATATCGTCGTGATGTACCACACATACATTCAAAAGGTGGACAGGAACATAAAACATCATCGCCTGAAATTAAAAAAAAAAACAACCAACTTAACTATCAAGGATGTTAAAGGACATATCTTGGAAAGTGTGTAGCAATCAGGTACAGAAAAGTATGAAATATAAGTCCATTTCGTTTCACCAAACAATCAACACTAGTCATGCAGGTATCATATCTCATAATATCATCATGCATTAATTAGCATTTTCCTTGTTAGAAATTAGAGAGATTTCTCGTGTGGTTTGCTGCACATCGACGCCTGGTTAACTGTGCGCGTGTAGTATATTATTTGAAAATGAATCGATATAACGGTGTACAATTATTGTTATTGTTAAAAAGTTTATCGATTATTATAAACTATGAAATATACAAGGAAACAACAAAGAAAAAATCATAATTTTTAAACAGTTTTTGTTCGTTTTTATAGTTAACCATAAATTCCATTAATCATAACATAATTGTTTGATTTTGTGGAATTAACAGTAAAAAAGTGCGGGATGTTTTTTCTGTTTTCTGATTAAAAAAAACTCGACATCTTGATAAAACAATTATACTGGTATTAAAGATAGATATATATTTGCAATGTTGAAATTTTTATTGTTCATCATCAGTTTGATAAATGACACAAATTTATTGTTCATTGAACCTAACGGAGAGGCAGTGGACAAGCTCAGCCGTTAGCGAGTTGAATTGTCTAATTCTAATTATTTGGTGATGTGGCATAAACGACGCCGGATTCATGACTGGACTGTTAGTTTAAGACCATATTAGGTAACACCTCAACATTGCTGCGTGTGTAGGCTCCTGACAATGAAACAAACACCTACCCTCCC